AAAAAAAAAAAAAAAAACACGGTAATAATAACTCAATGTTTTGTAGTCCATTCATCAATTTGGTCATATGCTGCATTCCTTATTGTGCAAATCAACATAAGTCATTCGGTGAATCGGGTTTGCTCCAACATTTGAGTCCAAATGATTGGTTTTCTTTCCCTTGCTCATATAAGTTGGACAGACATGGTCTTTTATTATCTCTTTCAGTATAGTGTCAATCATCAATTTAAGTTCCACTTTATGATTCTATGTATGCTGTAATGGTGATTTTGTATGGAAAGCTGCGGTTTTGGCTATGTTTTGTGTAGTTTGCACAGAAAGGAATTCTAGAGTTTTTGAAGAAAAAAGAACAACTGCTAGGGCGATTTGCTGGGTAGAGTAAAGCTTTTGGTTTATTTATGAGCTTCATTGCTTCAACATGAAATGAGTTTGAGAACTTTCCTTTATCTTTACTGGTTCTTGGTAGGAAGAATGTGTTAAATTTCTGATTCTGTTTTTGAATCTTTTTCTTATATTTTAAGAGGAGTGTTTGTTCTCTTTATGTATGTATTTTTATATTGCAATTAATAGAACTTCTACTAAAAGACGGTAACGTTAAAGTACTTTCTTTACATGTTATTTCAAGCTTTTAGCTTAAAGGACTGATCTTTGCTTGAACTTGGCCCGAACCGACTTAAATAAAGATAACTACGTGAGTTATTAATACTTTTTTGAAGGTAAAATACACCCCAAGGCTCTCCTCTCTCCCCCCCTTTATATGTAACCACCATCAACCCCATTTTTCACCTTGAATTGGTCAAAGCCAAAAATATCTTTTGAGCTTCTTGTAATCAAGCGTGAATCAGATGAACCTCCATCCTATCTATGGGCCTGTACCTAAACGCTTAAAGCGAGAAACTCTAATGTGGCTTATCATTTCTAGGCAATCTTATATCTTGTTGGAATCTACACATCATTCATAGTCTTCTATAACGACACGTGTTTAGAAGGTGTCTGCATTTCTCATATTAAGTTTTGATGTAATACGAATGCATATTCATAACATTATCCAGTTTATTTACTTTCTTTTTCTCTTCGATATACTAGGTGGTACATTCTAGAGGAAACAGCCTTGTGCCTTTGGACTAGCATCTTGTACATTGTCTACCTCAAGTCTAATATATCAAAAGCATGGTATGCATCAACTTCTCACATCTTAAAAATGTTTCTTCTTGTTATCTGCTCTTTTTTTTTTTGGCTTGTGAGGAAACTTGAAGCATCTGTTGGATTGTTTGATGCATGAATTTAATCTACAGATGCAAATATGAATACTTTTGCACTTCTTGGTCTGTTTATGATGCTTAGATTTTGATGATTGAATTTGAAACTTCTACATATTATGTATTAAAATCTGAGCTGGATTTTTTTTTTTCCCAGGTGGATTGATGTAATCATGATTTTGCTTTTGGGTACCTTGTCAATTTCTTTGATCTTTCTACTGCTGCTGCTCCTTTTTCATTGGTAAGTATTTTGAAACATTTAAAATGCATCGACTTCTTATTTAACATTATTGCATTTCTGGTAAATATGCATTAGGAAATTATCTTCACTGAAATCAGTGACATGATATTTAAAATATACCTATTTACTACTGCTCGTCTTCTTTTCGGAGGCAAGTTTATTAATTCACATTTAAGGTTAATTTATACGATTAAAGACTCTCACTAAATGTCTTACGGGTGTCCATTTACTTCTCTAATTTATTATCCAGGATTGTATGTTCAACTAAGTAAAATGACATTCTTTTTGCATAAACATTGGCCCCTTAAGTGTGAAATTTCTTGTGAAACAGCTACCTTATTGTGACTAATCAAACCACCTATGAAGTTGTAAGAAGGCAGCGCGTACCATATTTAAGGTTAGTTACATTGTCCTATGCTTGGATTTCCTTTCATTGCTTTAACATTTGGCTATCATTTCTTTGCCTAAAATTTCATTCAACAGAAACCATATAGGCTCAGTCTTGATTCAAACTCTTAAATTTAAGGATTTATTGTAAGCAAATCTAAAGATGATTCCAGATTTCCTCTACGTGGTAGAGCCTTGACGTGGTCAACGTGTTAAACAAATTGGTCAAAATGAGTCGAGATTGATCTAATATAATCTCGAGATGCTGTAATTTGTTGGTTTCTTTCCTGGTTTCGGTTGAAATTTTATTGATTTGCAGGGGGGTTCCTCAGAGAGTTTATCCATTCAGTAAAGGACTTTGCAGAAATTTGTACGTATTCTGTTGTGCGCGAAACAGCCTTCTGCAGATGGAACCAATGCCATCTGTTCAAGAGCTCGAAGAGAAGTCGAGACCTTACACATGCCTGGACGTTTTATCTTGTCATTGCTGCTGATGAATCGAGCCATGTAATTTTCCTTAAAAAAAAATCTTAGACTTTTTGCAGACCTTCATGTTGCAATTCATACACACGTCAATAGACATGCCACTGGAGAGAAAAAGGTGTTACCATTCAACTACTTTTTGAGTTGAGAACGTGTTGTTGGCACCAATGACAAGGACATGATGTTTGATTGAGAGTGAGTATGCCATATACATTGTTGTAATATTATTGAGATAAAAAAATAGAGATTGTTCCAAAATGTTGTGTGGTGGGGGAAGGGACTTTTGAGCATGTTTTGTTGTGCTTAAAAGTACGTCGAAAATACTTTTTAAATGACTTATTTGTCAAAGATCATTCTTGAAGTTACTTTTCCTATTTGTAACATCTGAACTTTATCTTTTCACCTTTGTAGCAAGTCTGTCTTGCAATTCAGCTCGAAATCAGAATAAGGAAAAACAGTAAGGAATCAAATTCCTTGTTTCATAAATTGAAATGACTAGAAATATAATGAGTAATTGAATCGTAAAAACTTTATTGATATATATTATCAAGTGTATGATATTTCCTTATGACGGAGTAAATGAAGTAGAAAAACGCGAAGTTGAATAATTATTTTAAAATAGAATACGAGTCTGATAACTGATATGATCAAGAGCCTTGGAGAATTGAAGCATCTCCAATACTTGGACCAATTTGGCTTAAAACGTCAAATTGGTGTGAAAATTCCCTCTAGCCCAATTTAATATTTTGACAGTATATTGGTGTAACTTATAGAATTTTTCTATGTGGAAATTACAGATTTCAATATAAGAATCCCTATTTCATAAATAAGATGGCATGTTTAGTATTTCACAAATCAGAACTTTTATTAATTAATTAATATATATAAAAAAATAATTAAACGTTACTTCTCTCTCGATTCTCACTTCTCACTTCTCTCTCTAAATTAACCAAAATTACCTCACTTCTCTCTCTCTACTCTCACATCTCAACCACGGCTCTAAACAATTAGGGGAAAATATATGAGACCGTCGACGCTGGAGTTAAGCCAATAGAAGAAGCATCGCCGTCGCCCATCTCCAATCCAACAGCGTCGACTCCCTCTTATCTCCTCTCCTGTATCTACAACAAGTTCCCTCGCGAATTTGTGATGGCGATTTGTGGTAGCGACTATGACGCTGGATCTGGGGGTTTGGGTGGGTGTGAATTTGTGATGGTGTTGATGGGTGGTGGTGCAGTGGTAATGATGGTGTGGTGTTGATGTGGTGGTGCGGGCGACGATGCAAGGGTGCAGTGGTGTTGGAGGCGTGAATATATGCAAGCGATGGACCTGTTGCAATAGTAGTTGTGGTACGATGGTATTGGCGGCGTGGATCTGTGTGGGCGACGGTGCAAGGGTGTGGTGGAATTGGCGGTGTAGATCTGGTGGCTTTGGTGGCTATGAATCTGTGATGGTGTTGATGGTGGTGATGCGGTGGTGCAGGTGACGATGCAAGGTTGTGGTGGTATTGGCGGCATAGTGGCTATAGCAGTGTAGATCGTGGTGTTTATTTTTTTCTTGGTTGTTGGATGCGGTGCAGGCGATGACGGCATGGTGTTGGTGGCTACAGCGTCGGCGTCGGTCGGGTGGATCAATAGTGTCTATGACCAATAATTGCTTGACTCGATTGTGGTGGTGAATGTGGTGGTTGTGGAAATGGGTGACGTTGGCGGTGCTAGTTGTGACGTTTGCGGTGGCGATTTAAGGAAATGGGTGGATGTGATTTGGGGTAGGATTTGCTAGCTGCGGTGCAGCGATGGTGGTAGTGATGAAAATTGTGACTATGCATGTGACTCGCAATTGAATATGTAACATGAAAATTGTGACTGTGACTCACAATTGATTAAATTGTGATCGAAAAATTAATCTTGACCAATTAATTAATTTGCAATGAGTAAATGAATTGTGACCAATAAAAGTTTTGAATATGTAATCGATAAATAATCTGTGACTTGTAAATTTTTTGGATTTGTGATCGAAAAATATTTTGTGATCTATAAAATTTTTGACCTATGATCGAGAAATAAGTTACGACCAATAATTTGATAAGCTTTGACTAAAAATAAATTTGTGACTAATTAATTAGATAACTGTGACCTTAATATATTAAATTAATAAAATAATTAAATCATAAATAAATTTTAATAAAAATTCGATTTTTGAATTTTGAAACTTGTTTTCTTAATTTTGAAATCTATCATATTTAATCTCTCACTTATAAAATTTTCCCTTTTTCTTATTTCTCATTTTGTCTATTATTTTATATAACAACAAATTTTATTTTATATTGTATCATTTTACATACCATTTTATTATTTAATGATTTAATTTAACAAATATTTATTTAATTTGTTTATTATTTTTATATTATGATTTTAAATGTAACATTGTTTTAAATTGTGATATTAAGTTTTTGTGCTTTTTTACTTTATATTATAGAAGCAATATTTTAGTTTAATTAAAAATGAAAAATAAGAAAATAAAGGAAACAACTTTTGTTTTAATGTAAAATTTTGTGTAATGAGTTGAAGCCCTATTTGATTTACATAAAAATCAGATTTTTACTAGATTTTAACAGAAGATAATAAAATATTTTTTAAATAATCAGGTAACATTATTCATGAACTATATGGTTAAAAAATTGTAAATTTTATGAAATGTAATTTTGATAAAAGATAATGAATACGTGGTTGATAAATGGTAAATTTTATAAAATGTATAATTGAAAATGAAATTGGGGAAAAAATATCTTTTAAGAAATGAGAGGAAAAAAAAATGCAAGGTTACACCTTTTGAATGAAATGGATTTGACTTGAACACGGAGGTCACATTTTCTTGGATTTGAGTAGGGTTGGGTAGCGTAGGACGGCCTGTGGGCACAAATCACTAAACCCAAGAATCAATTGATGGAAACTGAATCCATGTTCCTGTTTTCCAATTTCAGCTACAGCAGAATTTGTTTACTGCAATAAGGAACATTGTAAGAGAGAGAAAATCTGCAAAGGGTTTTTTGGAGTTCGTTGAATCACGCTCATATCCACAGCGCCTATCATCGTCATCCCCGTCATCACCATCATCTCCCTTCTTCATGTTGATGCATCAATCAAGAAATAGAAAGAGAAAGACAGGAAAAAAGTGAAGGACAAAAAAAACTCACTAAATAACGGTGTTTATTTGTGCACGTTATAGTATAGATACAGAGGTATATATTTTTGGGTGCATATGTATATAGGCGTTTTTGGATGGATCTATAGATCTAACGCTTTGGACAACAAATGGGTTGCTGCGTTTCTTTCAGATCTCTGTCTTTGTCATCTGGTATGATTCAGTGAGTGACCAGACACTGCGCACTTCAAGGCCTAAACGAATTTTGAATATTCTCCATCTATCTGAAAATCGAATAAGGCCGTTTTATCCATTTTTTTTTTTAATGTGTGATTAGATGTGTTGCAGAAGAAAGTCTTGTTGTACTGTAGATTCTTATTGGCTGGTTCCAGTTTTGCGCTTTGCAATCAATATCTGCTGTTCCTGTTTTCTATAAATGTTAGAATTTTGGGACGAGGATCATACTTATTTTCCTTATTTAAGTACAATTAGGGATGAGTTTTGAACTTCAGACTTGTTTTTCTAATTTATTGGTATTAACTCTGCAATAAAGCTATCATTTTTAGTTGTTTCTATGAGCCTATGATCTGTGTTGTACTGTGCTTAATTTAACTTTTTATTTATTTTTTATTTTTTATTTGTAGGAGAGACTGGTGACTGGGGACCTGGAGAATTTTAGCCAGAGTTCTGTTTGCATCCATTTTGGATGTTGAGGATTAGGTGGTACATAGGGGTGAAATGAGGGATGTTATCAAGATTGATAAATTTTCTGCAGAAATGCTGGCAACGTACATTGGACCGTCATATGCACACTGGTTCTGATACAACTGGCTGGCAAGATGGTTTGCTATGGTATAAAGATTCTGGGCAGCACCTAATTGGTGATTTCTCCATGGCTGTTGTGCAAGCCAACAATTTGCTTGAGGATCAAAGTCAGATTGAGTCGGGTTCCTTGAGCTTGCTGGATTCTGGCCCGTATGGAACATTTGTGGGAGTATATGATGGTCATGGCGGGCCTGAGACATCACGCTACATCAACGATCATCTCTTTCAGAACTTGAAGAGTAAGTGGTTAGCATTTATAAATTAGTGGAAGAAGACTTTTAGGGTCTAATAGTTTTTTATTGATTTGCCATTGGATTTATAAAGTTGTTGTTTTGAAATATTATTGGCTTATGTGTCTATTATGATAACTACCATTTTTTCCCTTCGTTAATAATTTAGCTAAAACTGATTTCTTTCAGGGTTTGCTGCCGAGCAGAACTCCATGTCAGTAGATGTAATACAGAATGCATTTCAGGCAACAGAAGAGGGATTTATATCTGTGGTTGCCAAAGAATGGTCGATGAAACCGCAACTGGCTGCTGTTGGTTCTTGTTGCCTGGTGGGTGTGATTTGTAATGGTACCCTTTACATTGCTAACCTTGGTGATTCCCGAGCAGTTTTGGGAAGAGTTGTCAGGGAAACTGGTCAAGTTCTTGCCATCCAGCTATCAGCTGAACATAACGCAAGCATAGAGTCAGTCAGACAGGAGTTGCATTCTATGCATCCAGATGACTCGCAGATAGTAGTTCTTAAGCATAATGTGTGGCGTGTGAAGGGCTTGATACAGGTCAGTTCTTTGCATATAGGAATGGTTAATAGTTGATTATGTCAATGGAAGAGTTCCCTACTTAAATCATGGCCTTTGATAATCGTTTTTTCTCTCTTTTCAAGACCCCAAATTTTGAATGTGATAATCCTACTAGATTGAAGCATATATTAGTTGCTGATAGAAAGTTCTATAATTCTTGTTGCGCGTCTGTAGTTGGTAGTTTCAGCTGTCACCTAAATCTTTGCTTTATCAACATGACAAATTATTCCTAATCTTTCATCTGTTTTGAATCAACATCATGTAATTTTTCGCGATGTTTCTGGGCTCTTTTCTTTTCTTTGGTTCTAATTTTCGCAATGTCAGTAGGGTCAAAATCCATAGCTTGGACTAAATATTCGTTTATTGCCCATTCCTTCTTTTCTTCTTTACCTGGAACTTAGGCAGGAGAGGAGTTGAAAATACCAATATTTACATGAAACATTGTAGATCTACTAGCAATCATGAACAATTTGAATCTTCAATCTAAAGCTGCAGCTGAGAAGTGCTTCAATGCTTACTGAGATTCAACATTTTTGTGTGGTGCCAGCATAGGAATGAGTTTGAAGTCATTTGTTGATTATCTGCCCCATTCTTGAAATGCTTATCCTCTTCTTTCTAGCTTTCTTGGTCCTATATCGGTTCAGTGTTCTACATTAATTTTTAAATCAAGAAAAAACATGCTCATTTCTTCCACCAGGGAATCCACTGGTCACTCTTACATTTGCCGTCAGGCGTAAGGGAGATCTACTCCACATATTGGCACGATATAATTGCCTTTGGGGAATGGAATAAAATATAGTGGGTGTTTATGATGTTGTTCTCTTGTAATGGATGAATCAAGTAACATTCTAGAAATAAGGAAAAAAATAAATTTGTTGAGTATACTTCCAAAAATGTTGGCTTTTCCAAATTTTATGTTCATCTTGGTAGATGACAGAGATTTCATTAGAATGAAAATCCTTAGAATGATGTAGTTCCGTTGGATTGCTTTTGTGCTAAATGGACCTATCAAATTAAAAGACTTTGCAAGGCATTCAGGCTTTGTTGCTGGAAGTAAATGAAGTTCATGTTATCCAAGTTTAATTACTGCTCAATTTGGCAAGTCTGTTTCGACATATTGTTACAAAGATGGATATTGTAGTTACAAGACGTGGGAAGAATACAATGAATTTCTATTAGCATCTCTACTCTAAGAATGCCAGTTTGAGATATGGCATTGAGTGAGTTTTCCTGTATTAGTAGAAAAAGATAAACTTTAGCTAGGAAGGCTGTTCATTGAAGAAAGGTGCAAGCATAGCTGTGAAATCTTGTTCTGGGGATAAGTTACGAAAGCCTGATGACCTCTTATCCCTTTCTACTCACTGTTTGGATATGTCCCCTGACACCACTGGTTGAGGTGCTGTGAGAGTTTAAATGTGATTCTTTGGCTTTAATCTCTAAAGGTAAGGAGAGGAAGACAGTAGGGATCTTAGGCCAACGATTGTTGTTGGAAGCATTTATCACATCATTTCAGCATATTTGCTTACCGAGTAAATAAGGTTTTGGGTTTTGGTTTATCCAGCTCAAAAATACTGTTTTCGCGGCGGGTAAATAATTGTTGTTGTTCTTTTGGTAAAAGAACTCCTTGACCTTGGCGTTCTTTGCAGAATGGATATGGAGAAGGTCCCTGACCATTTAACTTGGTATTTTTCATCTGCATTATGGAAAAGATACTTTTTGTTTTGATGAGATTCTATATTATGGATATTTTTTTATATTATACCATGAGATTCTATATTCGTCAATGGGTTCACTATTGGCTATGTTGGCTATGCAAGGTTGAGAGAAGGTGACTCTTTGTCCCCTCGGCTTCAGTGTTATCATTAGTGGAGAAAAGCTGTTAGGATCATCCATTGTTTGCTGGTAACTGCATGTCAGATGTGATAAAAGTAGTTGAGTTTTGAGAAAGATTCTCTTGTGTCTAGTGGTAATGTCTGTGATCATAAGACTTGAGAGAGTCAACTGGTTCAGAGTAGCTAATTTTCCAATAGTTAACATTTATGGTTGACCACGTTTTTACACCTCCAATGTGGCCAACAGATTTCGAGCCCCCTTGCATCCACACAAGCTTTTCTTCTACACGCTTGAACACATTGTTAGTCACCCGTGACCTTCGGTGAATGATGTGGAGTAGGCACCTCAGTTGAAGCGTTACTTGCAACTAAATCGCAGTGACCAAAGTGAGACACCTGCTGCTGCAAGCCACTCTAAGAGAGGTGCCTCACGACTTCAACCGAAGTGCCATGTAAGATGCTGAATCCCACACGATGAAGTGGAAGCCTCCTAGCCAAAGGGGTAGCATCTTTCATAGTTGCTTCTCCCCAGAGATCTGCATAAAGATCTTATGAAAATGATTGATGTGACCTTTTACAGTAGGGAGAATGTCAAGTCTTGTGAGCCTACTACATAGGTACACAGACCTAAGTCATAAAGTGGCTATAATTTCAAATTACATTAAATGTTGCAGGTCCTATTATGTATGACATGACACAAGTGTTTTAAAAAGCTTGCCTAGGCTCGAAGCTCGGGCAAAACACCTCACTTCGTGTCTAGACGCTTTTTTTCAGTTCCTAAACGAATGAATTTTTCCTTCATTTCTTTCGTCTTCCATAGACGCACTTTATTAGTTTTTTACATTGTTTTAAAAGTTTTTTATTTGACTTTAGCTTCATCTTTTAAAAAAAAATAATAATAATACTTTCATTTGACTTTAATTTCAGAATTTTAAAAGATTTTATCTGTATAAAAGTAAAAAATAACTTTATCTAAATAGTTAAATAAGATTTATGTTTTTTTGTCATCTACATTATGTAATTATGATCTTGACTCATTTTATTATAAAATCCAAAAACATGTATGAAGTTTCGATAAATCTATTAAGTATGACTTGTCTAATTGAAAATTTAAACCATGAAGTATTTCGAAAACTTAAAAATTGTATAATTGACTAATGGTATGAGTTATTAAGTAAATATTATATTTTAGAATTTTAGGTGCTTAATATGTATTATTTTAATTATTAAATAAATTTTCAAATGATTAAAAATTTAAAATAATATTATAAATAAGAAAACACTTTTTTACGCTTAAGCTCATGATGCTTGAAACTTCAGCTCCACGCTTAGCCACACTTTACGCTTTTTAAAACACTGCATGACACCTATGATGGGACACCTTGGAAGCCACGTACTTCTTCATCCAACGGACACCACTTCATCCATGCCACCATAAAAGCTCACAACTTACACCAACTCAAAGGTAATGCAATTTTGACTCCCAAAAGCTCTATAAGATTGCTCTCTCATCTTTACATATATATTCATACGCATTCCAGATGCTCAAATACTTTCATGTCTTGCGTCTTAAGCACATCCTACACTCAATATATTTCTTCCATTTGAATGACTTGATCGGCGGAGTGCTCGTTGTCGCCTTGCCCACCATCGGAGAAGGCCATGCATGACTAACGGTTTGTCCAAGTGTATAGGAGAAAAGCTTATGTCAATGCGAGTGTGCCTGGGATATTTTGTCAACATTAGAATTGCAAAAACTGTGGTCAACAGTTATCATTACCTGAGTCCAGTTTACAATATGCCCACATGTTTTATGGTTGTGCTCAGAATCCCTACCATAGTTGATAAAAGAATGAACAGCTACAGAAGATTTTTCTCATCGATTTGTTGATGGGGGTGGAGTGGAGGGGATTGGAAAGGCAAGAGAATGAGAAATAATGTCCCTTAGTTGACTGAGATGATTTCAGAAGCCTGTCAGATGAAGAGGGATGGGGAAAAGAAATCGTGTGCTGTTAGATACACCCATCTTAGATAAGCGGTGGAGATTTGCTAGGGAGCTTAATGCTAAAGAAACTGTTGCAGGGGATAACGGTGAAATCGGGCATTTTGGAACTCAGAAACCTTAAATGGGTCGGATCATGTATAGCAACAACGAATATTTTGAGGAGAATATGGGTTTTGTTGCGGGAGAGAATCGAGTGAGTTTTTGGAAGCATGGGTGTTCTGCAGATGCTATTTTAAAAGTAAAATTTCAACAGTTAATAGAATTTCCATACACTAGGAAGCCAATGTTGTTGAGGTGCTTTCTATGGAGAATGCTGATGTATATACCTCCAGTGATCATTGAAGTGGATGGACAGAATGTTATGGAAAGCTTTTGGTAGAGAGTCCAGTGTAAAGCCATTTTACTCTCTCTTGATCAAATCTAACAGGAATAACTTTCGTTGGTAGGAATTCTGGGGTAGTGAAGCGCCTGGAAATGTGTCCTTTCTGTGATGGACGGGGGCAAAAGAGGCATCTTACCAACTGGAACTTGAGGTGGAATGGAATTTGAATATGTTGACATTTTACAGGCAACAGTTCTGATGAGAATGTAAATCACCTTGTTTTTCGTTGTGATGTTGCAAATTTGCTAAATGCTCCTCATTTGTTGAAGTTACAATGTGTTATGCCTGCAAATGTTCTCCAGCGTTGGGTATCTTGGAATGGGGAGGCAATGGGATCAGAAATAGCAAGTGTGTTGGTTCTTGTCCAGTCCACCGTGTCAAGTGGAGCCTTTTGGGTATCCTCTCTTGAGAATTAGAAACAACTGTTTCTCTATCCTTCTGGGGTCAACATCCCTTTTCTATTTGTATACTCTTGGATTTCCTTTTATTATTGTGGAAGCCCCTTTTTTAACTTGTGTACATGCGTTGTTTACATGCCTTTTCTTCCCCACTTTTTCTATTCCTTGTATTTTAAAAATAAAAAAATAAAAATAATACTAATAATAAAAAGAAAGAGGAAAGAAAGAAAGATGCAAGTTGTACTATCCGTATATGCTAATCAAATTTGTTCAGATGTAAAGAGAACACGTGGATTAGATTACACTGTATTGATCAGCGAGCTCACGTCCCAGTTTTAGATTACTTAACAAGTGACAGATGAGTGAAATTTTTTCATTACATGATGTTTCCTTCACTATTTCTACTTTCAGAAACATTTTAGTTCATTCAGTTGAAGTATTTAAGTTCATTTATAGAATGGGCATTATCATTTATTTTTTTGAACTATTTTTGGAATTACTATACTTATTTTGGCTTGAAAATGTCTCTTTAAATTGTCAAAATTCATCTTGCAGGTTTCTCGATCTGTTGGTGACGTATATCTGAAGAAGGCTGAATTCAACAGGGAACCTTTATATGCCAAGTTTCGTCTCCGTGAACCTATTAAAAAGCCCATATTAAGCGCCGATCCATCAATTTCAGTCCTTGAACTTCAACCACATGACAAGTTTCTCATATTTGCTTCTGATGGTCTTTGGGAACACCTTAGCAATCAGGAGGCAGTTGACATAGTACAAAATCAACCCCACCATGTAAGATCTGTGACTCGTGAGTCGTAACTAAATTAATAGGTCTATCTACTAAATTTTGTTGAATTTCGATTCCTACTCTTATCAGGAACGAGGCTTAATTTGTTGTTGTTATTGGTCCCCCACCCCCTTGAAATTGGGGAAAAAAAGAAAGAAAGAGAGGAAAATTTAGAATTCTTTATGCTTCAAATCGATGGCAAGAGTGGAAAGAAATTATATTTGCTTAACTTCTGTCATTCAGGGAAGTGCTAAGAGGCTAGTCAAAGCCGCATTGCAGGAAGCAGCAAAGAAAAGAGAAATGAGATATTCTGATCTGAAGAACATCGATCGTGGGATCCGGCGGCATTTTCATGATGACATCACAGTGATAGTTGTATTTCTAGACTCCGATCTTGTCAGTCGAGCGAGCTCGTTGAGGGGCCCCACTTTATCCATTAGAGGAGGCGGCATCAATATCCCGGCAAAAACTTTATCTCCTTGTGCAGCTACATCCACAGAAATCAGTGCCACTTAAGTTTTCCTTTGTGCTGCGTTCTTCTGGGAATTTCATGTGATACCTATTAGAGAATGTGCAATCCTAATTTATTCTTTCGTGTAACAATGTAACGTTTAACTTGAAAACCTTCGTTTCATTTAGTTTCTGAGCAGAAAAAAGAAAGGATGAAAGAATCAGGTAAATAGAAGATTCAAAATTACAGTAGAGATTCTTTCTTTGAGACCATATCTTTTATTCATCTATATACATTTTCCCCTCTTTTCTCCCTGAAATTGTGTGATGTAAATGGTAACTAAAGTTTCTGGAAGCTGGTGTATGGTATCAGAAATTATGGTTGCTCTAATCTCGGATAACCGGCTGCTCAATGCTGGGACTTTTGTTTTCCCGTTTCTTCTTCTTCTCAAGGTAGCCGTTTAAGGCATGGTTGGTAATCAGCAGTGAATAGGACTCGACAATTTATTTTATTTATTTACGTTTTTCCCTATCTTGATATTGTCAAAAGCTGCCCTACCCTCCTTGAAACATATGATGGTCAAAGCACCTTGTAACTTGTCATAAAGAAAAGTTCCGAGAAAACAACTACGCCAACTAGCCAAGTTCAAGTGAAATTTCATCCCTAGTCACGACTCATTTATGGGTTCTATGACGTTCGTTAGTCAATTTGGACCTCTACCAATGAATTTACATAAACATGCTATATTTATATGTATTTTTAACCTTGAACAAAACATAATTGAGCAGAAGTCCAACAAATGTCTGAAGACTTCGAATTTGTTTAGCAGGACATATTTGAAAATTATATTTCCTCAAACTTAATTCCAATTATACATTCTCTAAATAAAATAATTTTGTATATACATTTTCCAAATAAAATAATTTTGTATGCATTCCAAAAATTAAAAAAATATTTCTTCAAATAATCTTTCTCAAGATGAACACTAAAATAAGGCAACAACAAAAGTTCTTGTTTGGTTCAACTAAAAAAATTGATTAAAATCTAAGTCAAGTCAATAATTAACTTTAATCACATATTTTATAAAACTCACTACTTTTCAACCACATTCTATTAATTTTTATCAAATCGACTAAAATTCTGAAGGCTAAAGATTTCAAAATTGATTGCATGGTTGGGGGCTAGGGCAGGGGCGGACCAATGAAGGGCCCAGTGGGAGCGATTGCCCCTATTGAAATTTCAAATACCTTAATAAAAAAGCTAAGACAAACACTAGACATTTGGTCTAGTGGTATGATTCTTGCTTTAGATGTTAGGAATTCCTCGAGTTCGATTCTCATAATGTCCTTTTTATTATTCTTCTTGTGCTTTGTTTTTGGCTCTCTCTCTTAAAATTTTTTGTATCAAATCCATTAGACCTAAGAAAATGATTGAACTTTTCCTCAAAATGTTTTAGCTCATTTTTTTGTCTCGCCCCCATTGAACAATAATCTTGGATCCGCCCCTGGGGGGAGATATTGCTCCAATAATCCAGCGTGGAATCACATAGGCAAACCAAATGTATTGCTTACAAAGCATATGTATTTAGAACCATCAAAATAATCCACTCACTAAGCATTTGTATTTCAACACGTCCAAAAGGTATAATTTTTCCTTGTAGATAATAAAACATTAAAGTACACGAGTAAACAAAAACATAATTTAGCATGCTTCATTATATCTTCGGAGCCATTAACTTAAAATCCTACGCCAATTTCGATATCATGTCAATACGGAAATGGTAGTAAAGGAGGATAGATAGGCTCGGGTATTCAAAAATGACATGCCTGGTTTTCCCAGTTATTTTCATCAAGGATGCATTTGATTGCAAATATAAAAATTGCATTGAAAGAAAATAAATTTTACGTAATTCAATTGTCTAGAACTTATTTACATAAAAATTATCAATTAAATATGTTTGATTGATTTAATTTGAAACCTAAAAAATATTATACTTAATGATCACGTCACCAATGGTAAGAAAATATTTTTCACGGAAAAAATATAAGTCAAACAGCTCTAAAATAGGAATTTGAGTGGAAAAAAACACATTTTTCAAGAAAAATATTGACGATCAAACGCACCTTAATATTTCCTTGCATCCATATAAATGACTCTGGAGCAGAAAAAAAAAATTATACCTGCTTCCGTCTCTTCTCCAAGTACGGATGAACTCTTTGAAAGTTCAATACTGCCCATACTATGTGTCGTAAACCAATCTCCGGCCACAAAGCCTTGGGGGAATACAAAAGGCAGGTTGAAGTCTGCCAAAGGAGAAAATTGCTAAGGCGAGACTCGCCTGATGTTCGAACCAAAATATCAGGATCTGGAGCTAATCCCATATATATGTGCCTCTCAATATCTGCTAGCTTTATTGTACGATGTCCCTTGTGCTTTTCTTGGCATATATCACTATTTTGGGCCCCACTTGCTTTACTTGACTCTTGAGTTTCACCCCACTTCTCCTCGATAGCTTCTTGAGCAGCATGCACAATTTCATCGGTCGAAGTATATGCCACACAAATCAGGAGAATGCTCTTGTCATTGTTTGCTGTAGCTTTCATCGCTTTGGCAGCTGCATCCCGAACAGGGGCATTCAAAAGTTTCAAGTTCCCGATGAAATACACCCTAACTCCATACTGATTCACGATACTTTCTTCCTTGAGCAACCCTTCAATTTTCTCCAGCATTAAATCCATCAGACCCTGAACTTCCTCGGGCTGTCTTTTGAAGTTATCGATGCTGAATGCATATATAGTTACGTATTTCACACCCAATTCATAGCAGTACTTCATCAGAGACATAAGAGCCAAAAAGCCAGCTCTGTGACCCATCCCCTCTTTGAGTTTTTGTTTCTTAGCGTACCTTCGATTTCCATCTAAAATGAAGGCAATGTGGTTTGGAATTGGACCCGTGGATAGAACATGAAACAGAAATCTTCGCATTCGGCTCAACAAACTCGCAACCAAACTGCCAGCATAAGAATCACTTTTGCTCTCCATTTATACTCCCCAAGTCAAGTCTAGAGCACTGCAATCAAATTTTAAATTACAGAAGGATTAAGACATCTTACTGCAATCAAATTTGAGAAAGAAACCTTCCATGCAACCAACAGAAAAAGCAAATGACATGTAAAAAAAGCTTTCTACATAATTTTCGAGAAATTTAAGGTCCTTTATTTCAAAAAAAAAAAAAAACCTTTGATCCATTCGCTAGAACCATTGAACCACAAGAGGTACATCATTAAGGGGAAGAAAAATGTAAAAAATGAAAAACAATATCGAAATTATAAGTTTTGGCCAAAAGGAATTAAACTTTTAAAAGGGCTAGAACAAACTATTACCTGATATCTCCTCAACTGTTAGATTCATGGAACAGCAATGGATAAATTATCGTAACACACTTAAAGAAGATTAAATAGACGAAAGAAATCCTCCTTCAAGACCCATCCCCACCCCAAAGAAGAAAGAAAACCCCTCAAACCAAAACAGTAGAAAAGGGGAAAAAGAGGCAAGAAAAGGAGACGTAAAATTTTTTTGCAGCTGTCATTGATTAGTAGTACACGAATCAAAATTGTTCAAATGCAATAAAAAATAAACCTTACTCGCACGGGCTTAAGTCACTGTACGTTTACACTATATCGAAATTGCATGCACCAAAATAAAAATACAAAAGAGAGAAATTAAATGAAAAATAATAGGCTTCTATGAATATCCATTAACTTATAAGCTCTGCACTCCATTATTAAAGTTTATTTTTTTCCTCTGAAATTTACGGACCAACCAACTCAAATGTTTAATCACGTATCATCATTGCGTGTGCGTGATCTAGAGCGTGAGGGATAATGAGAGAGATGTTACCCTTTCAAAGTAAGGAGATGAAATGAATAAAGAAACCCAAATCAGAAAACCTGCAATTTTATCAAAACAAACAAGATTCTGAAGTTAGTCACTCAAAGATCCATAAAACCAATCTGGGGAATAATGGAAAACCCAAAAATTTGAAGGAAAAAAAAAGGACCAAAAATTAGGTTATGCAACCAGAGATAGAAAGTAAGCGAGAAGGAGGGAAAAAATACAATTTTTTACCAATTATTATGCTGTGGAAATCGTATCAAAATCTCTAGTGTCTTTTTGTGGACGATGACTCCACAATATGGGCGGGAAAAATTATTCATGAGAGGAATGCAGAAGAGGAAGAGAAATTTCGATATCATAGATTTTTATGGGTTTCTGCTTTCTAGAGTTGTGAATTAATCAATTAATTTGTGTGTTTTGTTCAATTTAGCCCCCGTTCGTATTTCATTTTTTTCTCATTAAATGAAAAATATGACCGTTATTCATCACATCAAGCCACCAAATTTGAATTTTTATCTCTTATGTAGAGCCCATAACGATCATATTTTTTATTTTCATTCTTACAAAAATGAGAAAAAACGGCCCATAATCTACAAGTTTACTGAATTCGAGGATTACTAAACGGTATAGGGCGTGTGATTTGTGCTGTTTTCTTAAATTCTGTCCACGACTGCAATGTCACACGTGTGTTTGGTGGTGTCGTCTTTTGTTTTTTTGGATGTTTGGTTCCTTGTCTTGTTTTGTGAATTTACACATTTTGGTAATTGGTAGTAATAATTGGAATGTTAGCCCTGTTTGTCCCCATTTTGTAGAAAAGAAAATGGGTGGAATAATATTTTTTTGAAAAATGAGTGATTAAAAAAGAAGGAAAAAATTTCGATTTACGTGCAATATTATTTTATAGAAGACTGTGTAATTGAAAATGGGAAAGAGAAAAATAGAATGTAATGAAAATAAAATTAACGGGGGCCAAGTATAATTTTAAGTTCTTAGATTAAGATTTCTATTATAGTCTTATATGAATGCTCTCTATATTCACCCGATGTTCGATCTGAAAACATACCATAGCTTGGCCAATGTCATGAACCTATTATTCATTCTCGTTGAATCGTGATAGAGAAACATGCTTAAACTGACAATTTCTATCATGTCGATGCACACTCTCTCATTGAGTTGTATCTTTATTGTCTCCATCAATAAATAGAAGGGAAGCTTTTGGTTAAGTCGGTGCTTGAAATAATTTTGTCATCTTTTTATATCTCTAGAATTAATAATTTTATATGAAAACTATTGAACTCAATCACTTGTTGATTGCTTTCTATTAATTCCTACTTCATCAATCTTACTGATTAATCTATTATTTTTTTTTTTTTTTTTTTTTTTTAGACGGGAGAACCCATAGCCGCTATCCTTCGAGTGCGCACTGGGTAAACTCTCGAACTGACGCAATAGCCTACAAACCGCACTAGTCAGGTAAACTGCACTAGGCAAGTCCTGTACGACAACTCAACTGAAAAAGTGTTGGTAAGAGAAATCAAACTAGTAACAAAAAAATTTCGCGCTCACCTACTTCACCAATTTGGTCACTCCATGAGGGGCAATTTATTCATTGTATTTAAAAAATAATTAAGAAAAAAGGTTGAACCCCAACTTTGAGGACCCCCACTGCCCCGCCCCTAAAGCTTTGTGAGGGAGGTAAATCGCGGGATGTATCCCAACAGGTTAGGGAACAAGAGCTGTTTGTACACTGCACCTACAAAGAGTCCAATTTCATGTCTCAAGAATCAAACCCCCACACTGCGGCTGCCAGCAAAGTTTGAGATAACCTCACTTCTATCTTTTGCACCACTGAGCTATGCCCCAGAGGGCAATCTATTCATTGTATTTTTTTTTTTGATACCCAGGTATCCCAGCTTCGCCGAACTAAATCCTGGACCCCTAGCCACCGGCCCCTCAGTGACTAGTGGAGGTAAACCGCAGGTTGTGCCCTTATTGGATCACAGGTTCCCACCCGGTTGTTACTCCTGGCCTCAAGAGAGTTTTCCTCCATAGTGATTGATCCACCAACAAATTGCCCATTTGTTGGATCACAAGTTCCCACCAGGAATCGAACCCTCCACGCTGAGGTTGCGAGCCCGTCAAAGGCGATTGATCCACCAACTCGGATGTGCCCTGGGGGGCAACCTATTCATTGTATTTTTTTTTATTTTTTTTAACGAGGTGTCACAGCTTACGCCAGACTATATCCTCGTCCCTGAACTTCCGGCCCCTCAACAGCTCAGAAAGGTAAATCGCGGGATGTGCCCAAGTTGACCAGGGTTCGAACAGTCTTTATACTCCTGGCTCCAAGGGAGCCTCCTCCATGGTTATTACATCACCAAACTGCTCCAACCCTTCCTCTGGTTATTACAACACTCAGCTGCTCCAACCAGGAATCGAACTCCCCACACTGGGGTTGCGAGCCCCGCACTGTCCTTCCTTTGCCAACTTGGATGTGCCCCGGGGAATCTATTCATTGTAGGTAGTAATAATTGGAATGTTAGCCCTGTTTGTCCCCATTTTGTAGAAAAGAAAATGGGTGGAATAATATTTTTTTGAAAAATGAGTGATTAAAAAAGAAGGAAAAAATTTCGATTTACGTGCAATATTATTTTATAGAAGACTCTGTGATTGAAAATGGGAAAGAGAAAAATAGAATGTAATGAAAATAAAATTAACGGGGACCAAGTATAATTTTAAGTTCGTAGATTAAGATTTCTATTATAGTCTTATATGAATGCTCTCTATATTCACCCGATGTTCGATCTGAAAACATACCATAGCTTGGCCAATGTCATGAACCTATTATTCATTCTCGTTGAATCGTGATAGAGAAACATGCTTAAACTGACAATTTCTATCATGTCGATGCACACTCTCTCATTGAGTTGTATCTTTATTGTCTCCATCAATAAATAGAAGGGAAGCTTTTGGTTAAGTCGGTGCTTGAAATAATTTTGTCATCTTTTTATATCTCTAGAATTAATAATTTTATATGAAAACTATTGAACTCAATTACTTGTTGACTGCTTTCTATTAATTCCTACTTCATCAATCTTACTGATTAATCCATTCATTGTACTTTTTCTTTTTCTTTTTAGACGGGAGAATCCATAGCCGCTATCCTTCGAGTGCGCATTGGGTAAACTCTCGAACTGACGCAATAGCCTGCAAACCACACTAGTCGGGTAAACTGCACTAGACAAGTCATGTACGACAGGTCAACTGAAAAAATGTTGGTAAGAGAAATCAAACTCTTGACAAAAAATCTTCGCGCTCGCCTACTTCACCAATTTGGTCACTCCATGAGGGGCAATCTATTCATTGTATTTAAAAAATAATTAAAAAAAAGGTTGAACCCCAACCTCGAGGGTCGCCACTGCCCCGCTCCTAAAGCTTTGTAAGGGAGGTAAATCGCGGATGTGCCCCAACAAGTTAGGGAACAAGAGATGTTTGTACACTGCGCCTACAAGGAGTCCAATTTCATGTCTCAAGAATCAAATCCTCACACTGTGGCTGCCAGCAAAGTTTGAAATAACCTCAGTCCTATCTTTTGCACCACTGAGCTATGCCCCAGGAGGCAATCTATTCATTGTATTTGCTTCTACTGATAGTTGTTCGAGTAACAAAAAAAGTTGTACTTTTCAGTACGTCATTATGGATTAGTTTAGTACTTTTTATCGGTATCCTTAATTCTCTCGTCACTTGAATTATTTGACCCATATCATAAACTAAAATAACACCCACCCAGCCCAAACCCAAAAAATTAAAGTAAAATAAAATAAACCGATTTTGCCCTTGTTAACGATCTTCCATTTATTTGTTTCCATCTCATTCCTGGGCTTTAGATGAACAAATATGTGTAGAATGTGAAGTTATTATGCAATTGGTTGGACATTCAATAACTGGGCGCTTTAGGCCTCATCTAATTTATGTTGTTACAGTATTCTTTACTACATATAGTGATATTCCTTGTATAATTATAACATCCCTTTATATATAAAATTATGATCGTTAATGATAAATTCTTTTAAAAAAAATTAATAAGATTTTGGAGTATGCCCAAGAACGAGACAAGATTTCTTGTTAATGATGAGTAATGTATAAATTTAAACGAATGGATAACGAAAAAAGCGATCGGAAAATTTTATTTGAGTGGTCTTTATAAATACAAAACAAATTAGTATCTTTTTCTTCTATGCTGTTTTTTAGTTCATCGAAAATTTTAGTTTATGTCACGTTATTATCTATTTCCATGAAAGGGTGAGAGTTGTGTCAAAATTTATGTACCCTTGAAAGAGGGTTTCAATAGGTTGATAAGTATCAATATTCAATAGACAAAAATTATGACATGACATGTACATTTCATTTAAATCTTCCGCAAAATCTAAAGAAGGAAACAAAAAGAGCGATAGAAAAAGATTGATATAATCAACCCCTAAAGCGTGAATACAACTCCAATATGTTAGTGTTACACTAGGTGTTCGAAATGGTGTTGAATCTAAACAATTTATGGTCGGGGTCAAGTATCAACACTTTCTAACTCTATTAGAAAATAATTTAGATTGTCACTTTTTACAGATTACAACAGATTACGACACTACCATGAAAAACACAAAGCTGAAGTGACCTTACAAAATTTCAATGGAAAAAATTGAAAATTTGTCAAAATAGTAATTGTTTGCAATGAATTACAAGAAATGAAAATTTTAGTGAGGATATCATACTTAAAAGATGATTAATGCACAGACCTATTTTTGGGCTTCGTGACTTCAATCTGCTCCAACAACTCGACGACTTCTTTCATTGAAGGTCGCTTTCTTGGATCATCCTCGAGGCATCTTAGAGCGAGCTGAGAGACCTGTGATAACACCTTCGATGAATATTGGCCATCTATTCGTGCATCCATAATAGGTTTCAGTTTTCGTCGTTGGGAGAGAAGGGGTTTCACCCAATCAGTCAAATTCAGCTTCCCATTAGGCCGTTTTGTATCGAGTGCTCGTAATCCTGTCATCATCTCAAGCAACACCACACCAAAACCGTAGACATCACTCTGAACGTATAGATGGCCTGAAAACAAACATACAACATATTTAGCCCATGTTTGAGCCTCATTATTTAAAAATTCATTTTTTCCCGAACTAATTTTCAACCACACATTCTTCCAAGAAAATAATTTTGCACGTGGACTCAATTTTTTCTACATTTTTTACTACACGCTCTTAAAGAATCATTATTACAAAACCCATTTTTCGAAAACAAAATGTGGCTCAAACAAAGTTTAAGTAATGTGAAAGTGGACACAACTAATTCATTAGATTGTAACTTTCTTTTTCTTTTTAGACGGGAGAACCCATAGCCGCTATCCTTCGAGTGCGCACTGGGTAAACTCTCGAACTGACGCAATAGCCTACAAACCGCACTAGTCAGGTAAACTGCACTAGGCAAGTCCTGTACGACAACTCAACTGAAAAAGTGTTGGTAAGAGAAATCAAACTAGTAACAAAAAAATTTCGCGCTCACCTACTTCACCAATTTGGTCACTCCATGAGGGGCAATTTATTCATTGTATTTAAAAAATAATTAAGAAAAAAGGTTGAACCCCAACTTTGAGGACCCCCACTGCCCCGCCCCTAAAGCTTTGTGAGGGAGGTAAATCGCGGGATGTATCCCAACAGGTTAGGGAACAAGAGCTGTTTGTACACTGCACCTACAAAGAGTCCAATTTCATGTCTCAAGAATCAAACCCCCACACTGCGGCTGCCAGCAAAGTTTGAGATAACCTCACTTCTATCTTTTGCACCACTGAGCTATGCCCCAGAGGGCAATCTATTCATTGTATTTTTTTTTTTGATACCCAGGTATCCCAGCTTCGCCGAACTAAATCCTGGACCCCTAGCCACCGGCCCCTCAGTGACTAGTGGAGGTAAACCGCAGGTTGTGCCCTTATTGGATCACAGGTTCCCACCCGGTTGTTACTCCTGGCCTCAAGAGAGTTTTCCTCCATAGTGATTGATCCACCAACAAATTGCCCATTTGTTGGATCACAAGTTCCCACCAGGAATCGAACCCTCCACGCTGAGGTTGCGAGCCCGTCAAAGGCGATTGATCCACCAACTCGGATGTGCCCTGGGGGGCAACCTATTCATTGTATTTTTTTTTATTTTTTTTAACGAGGTGTCACAGCTTACGCCAGACTATATCCTCGTCCCTGAACTTCCGGCCCCTCAACAGCTCAGAAAGGTAAATCGCGGGATGTGCCCAAGTTGACCAGGGTTCGAACAGTCTTTATACTCCTGGCTCCAAGGGAGCCTCCTCCATGGTTATTACATCACCAAACTGCTCCAACCCTTCCTCTGGTTATTACAACACTCAGCTGCTCCAACCAGGAATCGAACTCCCCACACTGGGGTTGCGAGCCCCGCACTGTCCTTCCTTTGCCAACTTGGATGTGCCCCGGGGAATCTATTCATTGTATTTTTTTTTTAACGAGGTGTCCCAGCTTGCGCTAGACTATATCCTCGTCCCTGAACCTCCGGCCCCTCAGCAGCTCAGGGAGGTAAATCGCGGGATGTGCCCTTATTGGTTCCCAGGTTCCCACACAGCTTTTACTCCTTCCCCAAAGGGGCCTTCCTCCATAGTGATTAATCCACCAATAATTCCTCTTTTATTGGATTAAAGGTTCCCACCAGGAATTGAACTCCCCACGCTTGGTTCCAGAGCCCCCCAATGTGATTGTTCCGCCAACTTGGATGTGCCCCGGGGGGCATCTATTCATTGTATTTGCTTCTACTGATAGTTGTTCAAGTAACAAAAAAAGTTGTACTTTTCAGTACGTCATTAAGGATTAGTTTAGTACTTTTTATCGGTATCCTAAATTCTCTCGTCACTTGAATTATTTGACCCATATCATAAACTAAAATGACACCCACCCAGTCCAAACCCAAAAAAATAAAGTAAAATAATATAAACCGATTTTGCCCTTGTTAACGATCTTCCATTTATTTGTTTCCATCTCATTCCTTGGCTTTAGATGAACAAATATGTGTAGAATGTGAAGTTATTATGCAATTGGTTGGACTTTCAAGAACTGGGGGCTTTAGGCCTCATCTAGCTTATGTTGTTATAGTATTCTTTACTACATATAGTGATATTCTTTGTATAATTATAACATCCCTTTACATATAAAATTATGATCGTTAATGATAAATTCTTTTAAAAAAAATGGGGAATTTACACAAATGTCACTAAAATTGAAAATGCAAAAAAAATTTGGACATTCACCAATTTCTTCCAAGAATGTCAATTTTTCCCTACAAAATGTCCACTTTACCCTTTAACACCTTTTTGGAGCAATAAATGCTTGATTTGAATGCAATTAATGTTATGATGTGATTAATTTATTTTTGCTTTAAATTTAATATTGAAGATATGATATTATATTGTATAATAAGATTTTTTTTTATTAAAAAAGGGGTGAAATCTTTACAAAATACACACACACACACGAATTGAAAGAGCTTCTTCTTCTTCTTCATCTCCACTCCATCATCAACAAGGAAACAAGGAAAGTCATTGACAAATTTGAAAGGTAAGGTAGTAGAAAAAAGTTCATCTCATGTCATAGTTGACTACTTTAAATGTTCAATACAATATGATCATATTTAAATGAACCCTTTCAATCTCTTATTCATTGATGTAGTAAATTTTTGGTATATTTTAGAAAGAAAAATTATACCAATATTATATAGAAAATGTGAAGTATTCCATATATAATTCAACATTTAATGAAGCATTAAGTGATATCTTGCTCATTTCTAAAAAGATACAGTGATATTGTAGTTCAGAATTTATTATGGCCTTTACCGTTTTCAATAAATCCGTCAAACAGTGAAGCACATGGAATTTATCTTTCTCGAAAGTTATGGCAGTAGAACTGTCGAGTGGTATCTTGGAAACTGTCAGGTTAGACATTTTAACTGTCGAGCTTGACATTTACTGACTGTCGGGATAGAAAATGTAATTGTCGATTTCGACAGCTGAAAACTGATCATCTTTTATATCTTTGGTAGTACATGGATGTAAGTATTTTCGTGTGTCAATTTGATGTTATGAAATGTCGACATATGAATCTGCAGAATTCTCACTTTTGCAATCCTAACATTTTAGGTATGAGTCATGATTTCAGATTCATCGTGTCGCATGGAGGAAACTTCGTTCACTCAGATGATGAATGGAAGTGGAGAGGGGACAAAACCACTTCCATTTTAGTGTCGAGAAGTATTACCGTAGCAGAACTTCTGTTACGATTGAAGGAGAAACTTGGTATCGTTGAATCCCGCAATGCAATCGAATTGAAGTTCAAAGTCCCGAACTTGAATCTACCTCTGGCAGAGATACGCGACGATGAGGATCTACAGTGGTACATATCTGTTCATAAGGAAACTGCACTCTGCATCACATATTTGGTATTCAAGCTCCCAATTGTTGGTATGGCAACAGATGCAAACTGTGAAGGGAGCTTGTTCGGCCCAACGGAATGTCCATCGAATGTACAACATGACGAGATGAATCATCAGCACAGTGTGTCGCAAACCGAATGACCCGAACCTCCAATTGAGCGTATAGAGGCTGCAGCATCCGCCGAACACTTAGAGAACCCATTACATGGTACAGATCGTGCTTTTATTGCTGAAATAGACGAGACAATGTCATCAAATTCCAGACGTTCGTGCACAGATGAGTGGATTACAGCTGCAAATACATCGGTTCTCGCCGAGAAGCAAATATTCTTTACCAAGAAACAGTTGTGCTCGAAGCTTCATGTACTTGCTTTGCAAGAGAAGTTCCAATTCCGGGTAAGCAGGTCAAGCTTGAAAATGTTAATAGTTGTCTGTGTGGATGATAATTGCAAGTGGATGCTACGTGCTTCTACTGTCAAGCAATCTGCAATCTTCATGATCCGTAAGTTCGTTGCAGTTCACACATGTTCCCTTGATTTTCGTCGTAACGCACATCGGCATGCCACTAGTGTTGTAATTGCGGAGCACATTTTGGAAAAATTGGATACTCCATACCGATCATATCCGCCTACTTATATTGCACGTGATATGGAACGTGAGTTTGGTGTGAAAATCAGTTATAGCAAAGCACGTAGGGGGAAGCTCCATGCCTTAAATATGCTACATGGTACACCAAGGGACAGTTTTCAGAAATTATCTTCGTACTGTCACGTCGTAGGAGAAAGTAACCCGGGGACCGTTACCCACATCGAAGTTGATTGTTGTAATAGGTTTCGTTACTTCTTCGTAGCTTTTGGTGCAAGCATTCGTGGATACATGCAGTACTTGAGACCCGTTATTTGTGTGGACGGCAGTCACTTGAAAGGTCCATATAAAGGTACACTCCTAGTGGCAACTGCCCAAGATGGTAACAAACAGATTTATCCGTTGGCATGGGGGATCGTGGATGCTGAAACCAATAAATCGTGGAAGTGGTTTTTATCGAACTTGAAAGACCTTATAGGGGATTCCGAAGAACTCGTGTTCGTTTCAGACAGGAAAAAAAGTATTCAGAAAGCTATTTCTCAGTTGTTTCCGTCGTCTCGGCATGGTTGTTGTATATGGCATATGGAAAAGAACCTAATACAGCGGTATAACAACGCAAGCCTATTATTTCTATTCAAATGAGCTGCTACAACTTTTCGGGTCGAGGATTTCGAACGACTCATGGGACAGATTCGTAGAGTGAGCGAAAGAGCGCACGAGTACTTAGAGCGAGCGGGATATTCATTTTGGTCCAGAGCACTATTTATTGGACACCGTTACAATATTATGACAAACAACAATGCAGAATCGTTGAACTCGATGTTGAGAGAAGCCCGGTTGTTACCGATAACCTGCTTGGTTGAACACATTCAGAGTATTATGCAGAAGTGGTTTTACGAACGTCGAGCAAATGCGGAAGAATACAGTACCTTATTGACACCAAGGATGGAGAACGAGCTACGGATGACTTTCAAAAATGGAACTAGGCTTCGAGCCCATGCCCTGACAAACAACTTGATGCAGGTTGGAATATTCAACGACACGGATATAGTTGACTTGTCCGAAGAAACCTGCACATGTCGTGAGTTCCAACTAAACCGTATGCCATGTGTTCATGCAAGTCGTGCTGCTTGCTTTAAAGGGAAGACGTTGTACAAGCTTTGCTCCCGTTATTATTCATCGGACTACTGGAAGGGTGCCTACAGCGAAACTATATATCCTGTTCCGAGGGAAGTGGATTGGGTTGTTCCGAGCTTAATTACATGTGCTCCTATTTTCCTACCACTCGTACGTCGTCCTCCAGGTAGACCACCAACCCGCCGTAAGCGTTCTAGGTATGAGTATGCATGGTCTACCAGAAAATGTACCCGTTGTGGTAGAGTCGGTCATAATCGGACCACGTGTTCAAACCCCCGTGTATCACATGCTCCTTAAAGATTTGCAGGTTAATAGACGTTGTATGTTAATTATTCCGTACTACATCGAACATTATGAAGTTACGATTTACAGTTTGTGATCATTAATGTTCTTGCATGTTGCGCATCCTGTTGTGCACATAAAAATTTCACTGTCTGTCCAGCACGTAGTAAACATCCCACCCAGTTCAAATGTCGGCCCCGATAGATGTGTTACGTATTCTCGACAGTTGACGAAACCTTGCACTGCACTCACGGTCTGCGTCACACATACATGTTGTGACCTCTAAACACGAGAACGGAAAATGTTTGATACTGTACATATATATTTTTTTTCCATTTCGAAACGCAATCTTCTATCCCCCTACAAATTTACTATCATTAGCATCATCTTAAATCGAAATTAAAGGTAGTGCAAAACGCAATCTTGAATCCCGAAGAAATGTACAATCATTTGCGTCATCGTAAATCATGGATTAAAGTTAGTCCATGATATACACCTTTCACAATAGCCGTTTTACATACTGCAAAATACATAACCATTTTTGTACATTTTATTGATACTGCCCGACAGTTGACATGTCGTCCCCGACAGATAGTCTCAGTAATTCTCGACAGTTCGACCGGAAAACGCAAAAAACATGACATGAATTGCATCTTAGAGACATGTTCACGTGGACTTTTTGGTATTGTCTTAACTAAGGTTATCCCTACAAAATACCTTACTATACAGTACTTATTCACTACATTCCATGGGTCTCACATTAGTCGTCGTCGACAACTGAACCACGGTCCCCGCTATCCTCACCTGACTCGTCGGAAGAGATGATAATGACCTCATTTGGGGGATCGTACGCCATCCAGTCGTCGTCATCGTCGGAATCCCCCTCGTATCCGGCATCCAGCTCGAACTTCTCATTGAGGACTCCATTCGGTGATTACGCACCCTCGTTGGAAACAACTTCTAAGTTGGGAAAATGAACAGGGGAAATGGCTCCCCTCCCAATACGAGGGTTAACTTCCTCCTCATCTGACGAAATATAAATTGGAAAAAGCGGAGATGAACCAAGAACTGGCAGTGGCTCGTTCATGTTCAACGGTTCGTTGCTTCCTGTGGAAGAACTCATTACGTGAACGTATAGTAGTACTGAAGGAATGATAAGTGTCTGCGAGAAGGTGAATGGGTGACAATGGTCTTGAAGGAACTTGTTTGTAAGTGAGAATGAAGTCCCACACTTTTTATAAGCAAATTGAAGGGGAAACAATAATGGTCTCCATCTACCCAACCACCAAGCCCACTCTCCTAGTAAATTTGAAATGCAATTGGTGTGATGGTTGAATAAATAAAGTGTACCTTTATCCCCCATTTCCCCATACCTAGTACAATGTTAAACACTCTTTAATCATGTGCACAATTAAGGAAATGTGCATATCTGCAACAAAAACCTGCTCAATCAAATTGCTACTTTTAATTTGCCATGGTTGTAATGGTATAGTTCCTCACACGTACAGGTCATCATCGCAACACACATGAAAGACGAACAACGAAATAATTATTTTTACTAATTTCATTGATTTATGAATTACTTTTTACCGTGGTTCTCATGCTCTTGATAGTTGTAACGACTCATCTTCTCGTTGCATCTCATGAATGTGCCTTAATGCCTTAGTTTGAGAATTTATCATAATAATATCGTCCCCGATTAAAGCTATAGTGAAGACTAGATACCACTACATAAATTTATGAAATATAACATTCCCTATTTAACGTAACCAACACGGGTGTAAGAAGTGTAACACAAATTAGAAAATCTTAAAGACTCGAAGTATATTACTACATCTACAATAAGATTGGATCGAATATCAACAATATCAAGAAAACAGTAGTTACAAAGTATTTCGAAAAATTGACATGTTGCATAAGCATGTTCCCCTCCTCCAAAAGAAAATAAGCGCACACAATATGCCCAACAAAAACATATACCGAACAACAAAACGAACCTGATTGATAGAATCAACAAAGGTAAAATAGCAGACACAATTCATAAACACTACAACTACCGATCAGCCAAACAAAATAAAATATGAGGAATCTGTCCACGTATCACCACGGTACGCAAGAGTAATGAAAATGTAATGTAAAACGAATTCAAACAAAAGTTATTTATCCAACATGTTAACATCCGTCACCAACCTCCACCAAATCGCTGACAGGGTATTACCAACTACAACACCACCGTCGTGCTGTCCCCACAGTTCACACCCCTTTTACTTCTTCGTTCGCTTCGCCGCCCTTGTATATGGAGTCCTGGCCGCAGGAGCTGGACGTCGCACCCGTGCCGAGCACCGACTCGTCGTATGAACTCCGTGTCCTGGTTCGGCTACACTGGCGGGAACAGGGACTTCAGCGAGATCGCCTACGAGAATTCAAAAGGAGGGGAGAGTTAGTGACCATAAATGCCCTTCACGTAGCATACGTAACATACAATAAATGATGCAGAGAATGAATTTAACATCACCATCCGTAACATCGCAACCCTGTAAGTCGGCATCGTTGCTCGGGGCTGCATGTGAGGGCTCCATGGCTCCTCCATCTGACATTACAACACATTTGTAACTGCATATGTGTTCGACGTTTGCAGTTGGAAGATAATGGAAGCGTACAGGAAGAAAGAAAATGAGAAAAATAATTCTCATGTTACCGTTCAAATTCGGGACGGCAAATATTGGCTCCATCTGTCCTCCACCTGATTGGAGACCACAATCACACCACAGGAATAAGTTATTACATTTTCATGAAGTCAGAACGAAAGTAGATGACATCGAATATAGTAGGGAAAAATCGTAGCACATGACAACGTACCTATCTGTTCGTCGGTTGCTACGGGCAGTGGGTCGTGTACGTTGTCCGGGCGAGCCGCGATGTCTCCTCCATCTGTTGATGAGAACATGAAAACTGTGTGAATACATTAGGTTTCCCAACTTTCACAACATACAAAGTCCATCAAATAACAAGTTTCAATGTGCTCATAAATAACTCACGTACCTTGTACATGTGCAGTTCCTGTATCTGCTCGCATGTCTCGCTCGTCTGGGGAATGCTCCATTTCTCCTCCACGTATTTCTAACTCGCAATTGTCGTATGAAAAAAAATGTGAGCTACAGGTGCATGTGCTACTGTCGAACCTGGGTGAAAATTATAAACCAAACGGTTTATGTATTGAACATTCATACCTTGCGGAATACTACCTGAAAGGCCACCCTCGGTATCGGCGGGCATTGCGGCTGGAACGGGGGTCGGAGCAGGTGGGGCCACGAGGGTTGCAAAGAAAGCTCGGAGTTTTTTACATTCGGATGTCACGTGCTGTTCGATTTCAAAAGTAACACGTGGTATCCATACCCGCACGTTCTTGAAGAATACATCGTACGTACGATGCTGTGGTTGTTTTCGTGTGGACCACCTAAGCAATCGTGGCATTTGTTCCCAACTCTCTGACCAAAACATTCCCCAATCTCGGGAACTACCTCGTACGCCCAAACCTGTTCCATCCAGACAAACAGAAAAAATAACTGAGATGGTACGCACGATGCTACATGACGGCAAACAAATAAAGCATGATATGCTAGTATTTAAAACATTGTGTACCTGCATGGCAATGGGAAATCCATGAATAGTGTACGTAACCTCCTTCTCTTGCCTCCTCTTCGCCTTCAGAAATTTCTTTGCCCAGAAACCCCGGAATCCGTGCAGCAAACGCCGATAGCCGACTCTACCCCAAGGGTAGGCAAAAAAGATATCTAGGTCGTCAACAATAGATAGTGTACGCAAATCAATTCCGACGTTATTATCAGGGGCATTGAAAACTCCTTCCACTATTAGCACGAGCCCTAGCTTGTAGCGGTCGGCTCGGGCCGTCGAAGGTCGGCCAATAGTAGTTTGGAGTTGTGCCAACGATATATTCTCCATGGATTTGAAGTACCTCTCCTTCAGCCTTCTCCTCTCCAGCACTCGATCGAACTCATCACCCTCCGGGAATACACCGCATCTTAACCCCGTCACAAGGGTGTATTCCTGTAGACCGAATCTCATCATGTTGCCTTGCACATTGAACCAGAGCTCGTTAACCTTGTCAGTGCGAATGGTTCTGAACACGAGCTGCTGGATGAGCTGGGCAGAGAATTGAATCTCTGCAACCTCGGCCAGATACCATAATGGGGAGTTTCGAAACTCGTCACGCTGTCGGTCATCGAAAATGTCCATCACTGTCTTCACATACTTCAAGTTGCTCCTCTGTGAAATGTGGGCCCGCAACCTTGCCTCCTCTGGAATACAATAATCAAACTCCATCAGTCCTGTATCCTGCAAGATGCATTCATAAAACTCACTCGGGTTACTGGATAAACTTAAAGATATTGTATCATAAGTACCAGTTTAATGAAACACACTAAGGCATGGACACACTCAACTGTCGAGAAAAACTGACTACAACCGTCGGTACCGACAGATGATCTGTCGAGATCTGTCTATACCGACAGTTGATGTCCAAACATGCAAGAAGGCTGGCCTAACTGTCGAGAAAACCTGAGCTCTACTGTCGGGAACGACAGTTCAGTGGGAGGCATTGAACTTGTTATTGTTGAGATAAAAATTACGTAACTTAATCACTATTACCCCATAATATTAAAGAAAATATTTGAATGGATTGGGGCCCCAATAATGCATGTAAACAAATGATTGACAGTTCAGTGGGAGGCATTGAACTTGTTATTGCTGAGATAAAAATGACGTAACTTAATCACTATTACCACATAATATTAAAGCAAATATTTGAATGGATTGGGGCCCCAATAATGCATGTAAACAAATGATTGAAAATGATTGATGTATTATACAAGCTTTAGCATTCAGTGATTGGAATATAAATAATGGAAACGTGATATTGATAAGCAGAATAGTTAACAAACATTAGACCTCATTATCATGTGCCTAATGCCCAGCAACACACCTAAAACTCTACCGTTATATAACGGTATCCTATGGCATTATGTTACAGTATATTAAAAAAATCCATGTTGTCTAAGTCTAAGGAAATATAAAATTGGAATAAACTGTGAACAGAGATCTTTGAGATCCATGTTCACAGTCACAGCTTACCAGAAAGAAGAGGGGAAAAAGGAAAAGATAGCAGAAGTAGATCAGACAAATGATGAGAAAGATAAACTAAATAAGTATTCCCAACTCCACTGCTCTTCACAATTCAATATAAAAGACTACAAATGCCTCTTACCCTAAAATTTATTAACTGGGTGGGGCATGGGAAGCATGTTAAAAGTCCCGGTTACATGAGAGTTTTTGTCACAATACTTCTTCGATTTTCAGATTATGAAATTCCAACCTGCATATGGTAGCAAGATGGAATTCAAATCAACCTGCAATCCCCAATGCTGGTAATCATACGTCTGAAATAATCCTGAACAAAGTTTTTTAATCCACAGCTTCCATTTTCATTTTGTATGGTGTGACAATTATACTCCGCCAAAATCAACACATTGATATGTCTATATGAAGTACACATGTCATCGTACGCTCAATAAGAATCATACTGACTATAACTAGATCGTTAGATTAGAATTTTAAAGCAATTACACGGAGTAGACCACAATCTAAAGAAAAAAGAAACTGAAACGGAGGTCAATACTTTGATTGCGTGTTGAATCTTTCCACCAGAAGGTGATATGATAAAACGAATGTGTCAACCGGAAGAAGAATCAACATTAGATGGTAATATTACAGACAACTACACATCTCAATGAAATTCCATGTATTTGACATAGTTTCTAATAGAAACAACTCCACTCTACTGAGACAAAATTGTAACTCCACATGACAATATATTTATTTTCTCCACTTATCTACATCTCCCATTCATGTGATATTGCGCCCCCAAGGGATCTACTTTGGTCACCACAATCGAGACAAACATTCAAATGAGCCTTGCTATCATATGGTATCCAAAATGGAGGAATATTATGTAGGACTACTTCGGGATCTATCAACTATAATTTTAAATTTTTACTTCTAATATGGTAGCATAAAATGAGGAACTTCACGGTTCATTAATTTTATGGCTGAGATGACTTGGAAAAGGTGGGTTTTCAGATACACAACTGAAGGTTTGGAGCTTCAGGAGGAAATGGCTAAAAAAAAAAAATGGTTCAACAGGCTGTTCTAGCTGTTGTGTTAAAAATACCCTAGAAGATAACCATTCAGTTAGTGAGGTTTCACGGTGTCTAAGGGATTAGGAAAAATCCGGGCATCTCAAAAACAGTTGGGTTGAAAACACATGACGCGATCCACATGGAATCAAAAGCTCAGAAATGTTTAAGTACACTAAACAACTAGGATTTGATAGGATCTTACTCCATCAAGCAGTATATTTGAAGCCTTAAAATCCCTATAAATGATAAGTTTATCAGAACTGTGCAAAAATGCTAGACCTCGTGCTGCTCCAATAGCTATTTTGAGCCGTATATCCCATGATAATGGTTGGATAGCAGAACTTTCTGAAAATTTAAGCTAACCAGAAATTAGTATTACCAAAACTAATTTTCGTTTCCTGGATTCTCTTGATTTCTAAATCAAGTTCTTACTTCTAAAAAGATGGCTTTCCAGGCTTCCCTTTTGCATAAACTCATATACAAGTAACAGCTCTTTTTCGTCCCAGCAATATCCCAAGAGCTTAACCAAATTAGGATGTGAAAGTCTCCCTAGAAAGTTCACTTCTGCCTGCAATTTTAAATTTAGTAAACATGTCATAAGTGTGAACAATGTGACAAAGAAAATATACAAGTCTTAGTTGTTATCATGAAGCTGATCATTCAATTAATTATTGTACAACTCAAGCACCAGATCATTACTTTAGAATAGCCATAGAAACACTTCCATTAGTACTAGCAAAGCCATGTACGCATTAAAAAAAATTCTTATAAAAACTCGTCTAATTTTAGACGTATTATCTCAATACTGATTACTAGGTAAAAGGCTTGTTAAAAGAAAAGTGGCAGAATCCCAATTATATAAAACAATCTTAAATTTTTTTGAAGCTTCTCCAAACTAGCATAAATATGTGCATTAGTCTTCTGCCGTGGTTTGTTTATTTTCTTCTACCAAATATATTAATTATTCATAGTGAATTTGAAAAAGAAAAAAATTTGCACTTTTTTCCGATCATTTGGGCATCGTAGGTGGAGCATCGATAGCTCATTTTGACCTGATCCATGGCAGATCCATATTTAAGGAGCTCAAAACAGAATAATGTTAAATTCCAAGATCCTAACTTTATCTCAAATAGAAAGAAGGGAAGATGGGTAACGTCCAAGCCAGATTTATGTTTGTTTGATCAACAATCCCCCATACTTCTGATTGTGTCAATGAGATTAACAGAGATCATGGAAATTAACGAAGATTACGAGTTGCCAAATATTGCCCCGTTTAATATAATTCTGTATGTATATAATTATATTTAGGATGTAATTACACTTACCATATTTAGTCTGATGCTTATTCTTATATAATGCAAGAAATCCCATTGGGAAAATCTTCCATCGAGGGGGTTTTATATTATAGATTGGTGTCATATGTGCAGAAAGAATAGGGAGACGATTGACCATTTGTTTCTCCATTGTAATGGCGTTCGTTTGCTGTGGAATGATGTTCTGGCTTCTCAACATATGGATTGGATGATGCCAAGACGTATGGAAGATATGTTGAAGGCATGGAGGATAAAGTTTCGTGATAAGGGCAGTAAACTTGTTTGGGACCTCATTCTAGGCTGCATTGTTTGATGCGTGTGGAGAGAAAGAAACATGCACTATTTTGATGATCATATAAAGCCTATAGAACAGTTTAAAGAATTATTTTATTTGACATTTTATAATTGGTTTAATGCTGCAGCTTCTAGTCACATAGATGGGCTGTCCAATTTCATGAAGTTTATTTCTTATTTAAGTGTATAATACACTTCCTGTGTATTACCTTCTGATTAATAAAATATTTGATTATTTAACCAAAAAAAAAAAACAACAACAACAAGAGAGAGAGAAATGTATTATAAATTTAACGGGGCCTAATCTTCTGATCGGAAATCTTTTGGTCACAAGACTGGACCAGTCTACAACACCTTACGCCAATCTTGGATTGGATAGCTAGTTAATGTCCAACAGCAATCCTAATTCATTGTGAAAGTTTACAGTGTAACCTCATCAGTAACAGCAACTAATCTCTTACAAGTTTATGATTAAACTGGAATTCCACAAGCTTCATCTTATCAAGCAAAAGAAAAATAATTCAGTGTGATGAGTTGACCTCAAGTTTCCTATCAGTTATCCTTCATGTGTTAACAAGTACAACTTGATATAAAAAGCTTTTACAGTAGAACTCTATCTGAATGTTCACAGTTTATGGCCTCACAATTACTTCGTAGATAAGCTCAGTGTTTATATGTTGTAGATAAGCTCTGCATTTATCAGCAAGACACAAGAGCAAGCTCAAGTTGGCAATCTCTTATGAACAGTATGACCAGGAGAGATTCAAGAATATTGATAAGGATTTGACTAATAAAGCAGAGTGTCTCCAAGTTTTCTCTATGAAGGATTTAACTATAGAGCTAAATAGATTTAGAATAAAAATAGAATATTCTCAGTTTCTCTTGCTTTTCTCTTCTAAGTTGTTCAATTTGAACTTGTAAGCCTCAATATATTTGAGAGCCATTAATTTAGCCATTAGGTAGGAACTATGCAGAAAGATGGCTATCTGGAGGGTCATGGCAGAAAACAGTCTAGCAGAAATTAGTTCATACAACGTCTAGTATAAGATAACTTATGGTCAATCCACGAAAACGGTTTTAGTGAACCTATCATTTCAGTGTTTTTGCTAATTTGATAATGAACTACAACATTTGGATTCAATGGAAAGTAGATGCAGTTTCAATGAGAATAACGACCACCGGAGTTGCCAATTCTGTTGGAACCCTGCCTCCAAAGGTCTGGTCGCACACACTTTGCTTCAAATTTATGTGAACCCACTCTCATTCCTTTCGCACAAATTGAACATTGGCTAACATATGTGTTTTTTCTTAGTTAGAACGTCTAATTTGTGGTTAATAGATTCTTTGTGAGAACCTAAAAGTCGTTGATAATAAATTCAGATTAAAATGACATGGAACAGGACTAATAGGCTGAAGGACGCTTTCCGAGTTTATCAAGGCATAGGAAGTGATCCATTAACTTACATTTATTTCCTACCATCTTGTGCGCTTTACCCCTACCATAATTCCTTCTTCCTCTTCATCATCGTAGCGGATTGAGTGTTTAAAGTGATGATGTATGGTTTCAGCCTCCGACATTTTGACCATCTCCAACTTCAGGCATGGACGTATTCTTGTGACCCAAGACATTTGAGCGTTCTTTAGTTTTGACTTGGACATTTGCTTCATGTTATCTTCATTTTCATGGAGCCTTGTCCTCTTTAACACTCAATAATTAGGATGCCCATAATCTTATTGTGTATATTCATATGCTTCTTAACTTATGCAATTCCTTCATGTTGAAAATGTTTAAAATTATTTACATAGTAGAGACATCCGTTGAGTTTCTTACATCTGGAACTTTTGTTTTACAGAGAAATTTCACCTTATCTATTTGTGCTAACACAATACTGGAGTAGAATATTAAACACAATCTCTGCTTGTTTGGAATCATTAAATCCTGAAAGACAAACAGAGTAGCCCCAGACCTTATGTACAATCTTACAATCCTTTGCATTACTAATCAGTGTGAAACAACCTTTATATTTTCTTAAACCACAGATAAATATGATGTACATGGACAAATTTCCTTATTATTATTCCCATTACAAGTGCTTCTAACTTGAGCTAAAATTTACCTTACTGGTTTCATCCAGTATGAAGTCTCAATATGGGCATCAGAGGATAATCTTAAGCATTTAAATAACTAAAGTAATTCAAATTAAGCATTTTCAGCTATATTACCTGCCATTCTTCAAACCCTTGTATGCTTTCTGAATTCAATTTTTTTATAGCAACCATCATCCCAGTGCCATATTTAGCTGGTGCGAGCGTCTTTTCATCAACCCAGCCCTTAAATACAGTCCCAAAACCTCCCATTCCCAAAACCATATCAGACTTGAAATTTCTTGTGGCATTCTTCAGATCAGAGAAACTATAAATCTTCAAATTGGGTGTAGGCAATATGTCTCCAGTCAAACAAGTATCCTCACTTGATGCACTTGCTGCAGCAGAGAATCGGCTAAGGCCAGCACTGCTGCTCGTCACAGAAAGACCACCACCGTTGCTGTCATTACCTAACGTCCCTTGAAAAATATGCAAAGTAAGTGTAAATCGAGCAGGCATTCGCTCTTTGCTTACTATCAAGAGAATAACTAGTAAACACATGTTGCACATTAATGCTCACTAAGTAGAAAAAGTTAGTTAACTTATGGCATCAAACATATACATTATCATTTTCTTACTTTTGTGCAGCTAAAATTACTTATTTAGAAAGTAATTACCAGCTTACTCATTTCCAGTTTTAACCAATAAAAACTTATTTACTTAAAAGTAGACTTTTTAGCCAAAAATTGCAATTCATACAGAATCAGAACGGATAATGTTTGAAAACTCACAAGACAATTCAATCAAACCCAATTGGTAATTCGTAAAGCGAAGAAAGTTAAAGGCACGAATACATAATAACCGGCACATAAATTAATCTATCAAACCAACAAATCTTAAGAATTTTCTTCCCTTCTCCCAATAGAACCCCGAAAACACGTGAAATTTCGAGGACCCAGAAACTTGTAATGAGAAAATGAATTCGAGAAGTGTACCTGGAATGGAAGGTCTGGCAGAACTGTTGGGTTTACTGGAGCTAGAATTAGGATCCGCAGGCTGAGATCCAAGGCAATTTCCCATCAAAATTATGATGTAATTTCTCCGATAAAGGAAATGCCTTATCTTCTCCAATTATAAATGTAGGAAAAAAAAATTGATTCCAACAGTCTGGTCAATCAAAGAAAAGGAAAATAGCTATTTGTACGTGAAAATGACGCACTTTTGACAAATTCTTAAGTTATATTGGTAACAGTTATTCCAATGACTTTGATTTTTGGTGTTTAGTGCTCATGCCGGCCCGCAATAGTTTACCTTCCATTCGAGGAATTTCTTTTGGCAGTGTTTTCAGACGAAGTGCTTCTTCAACCAAAGTCAACAGCCGCCACACAACGCCACTAAACATTACACAACAAAATCATTCATCAAATTGACATCTTGAATATTTCATCCTTCCTCTTTTGCTTTAGGAATCGAACTAGACAGGACAATGTGATTTTTTTCATTACTAGTAATTAATTAGACAAATCAAAGTCAATTGCAAATTAACATTTCAATTTTTAATGATAGATAGTAAATTGAACAACATAAATGGACAGCAACTTTCAACTCTTCTGATTTATGGTTTAGAAGATTTCTTTTAGGAAGAGAGCATAACTTCAAAATTTCTTTAGAGGCAGAGTATTGGTTTCACAAAATTTTATTATTGTAGCGTGTTTTTAACATGGTAAGAAATGTTGGAATGCAGAAGCCAAATTATTCAGAAATTTAAAATTTTCTTTAATTTAATAAATAATATCATTTAAATGTTCATGTATATGTTATATCAAAAGTAAAAGATTCGAACTTTTACATAAATTCGATGATCAATTATTGAATTAACTCTAAACATGAATTTCCAGCTTTTTGGATTAGAAAAACCTCCAAGTCTTCTATGATGTTCTCCAAAGTCAAGATTATACCGGTGAGTGAGCGTTTTCTCTTAATTAAATTAAGAAACTAATTCTTGAACAATATAATTGAAAAAGATGAGAAAATATTTTTTATCTCTCTTTATCTCTTTCCAAATTTGAACACAATGAAATTATGTATTATAATTTTTGTAAGAATGTCTAGGTTTCATCTAATCTCTATTTACAGAGGTAGAAGAGTTGCAATCCTTATACAATAATAATTTCACATTCAAATAGTAATTCTAATTAAAATTCAAGTATGAGTTTTAATTAAAGTTCAAATCTAATTAGTTTATATTTAATGTTCTATAAATTCAATTACAATTATAATTAAGTTTAAAGCTTTTGTAATAATTGCAGCCAAATGCAAAACTTTATTGTGAATACAATTAAGCCCAAAATTATTATAATTACCATAATGAAGTTCAAATACTTTATAGAGCTACGATAGGAACTTGATCGGACATATACTATCCAAGTTCCAATAATTAGATCATGTCTGGTCGACCCTAAATCACTTAATCTAACTATTAGTCATTGCTTTTTTACAAAAAGGCAAAAGACTGAACTATTGGAATATAAAATATCGCAAAAGTCAATAAATCTGTAATACTTTCTACTGACCTATCATATATGTATTTTATTCATGTTCGAGATCTGATAATTAGGTACCAGTATAAATGACCGTTTTATCGTTCTAATTATTATCACTGACTTAAGTAACATTTTCTTCAACGATCCTGCAAACTAATCATAGATGTTGAAGTTTAACCGTCACTAAATACTGAACTCAAATTTTAATCGTTCAATAAAAAATATTTAAGTAATAACTCTACCAAATTTTCAGGATGACAGTTCCCGACACAAATTTACATTCTCTACTTAGCTTATTCTCAAGTTTCCAACTCATCGATATATTTGACCAATCAAAATGATTTCACTCATTGATGAATCAAATAACCATTAAAATCACAAAAAAGATATACATAATCCAGTCAAGGGATTTAGATGAAATACATGATGGTTAAGTTAAATTTAATTCTCTGCATGGTCGTGCTATAGAATTAAATTCGACATGCGATCCGTTCAATACACTTCAAATGTTCTAATATTACCTTTAACTATTTCTATAATGATGACAAATCACAAACTTGAATACTGAATCAATTAACATTACAACCTTTCAGTACAAGGTATCAACCCTTATATATTGGTTATAAACAAATTATTTATAATCAAAATATAAGTTGTCTCACACTATACTTCTCAACGTAAATACCCAACTTATATTATAATAAGTGATAATAGGCACTTTAATTCGCATGCTTAATAATAAATAAATGCAATAAATAAATAAAATCACAACTTATTTATTATAAATAATTATTTCATATAGCAAAATATATTATATGAGCGTACAACCCAACAAGATTAAATTCACATGCTTATTTTAGGGCAATTGGCACAATAACTCTAATCTTTACCATGTCTGCACAATACTCCCCTAACATTATATTTTGATGAAAATTTTTCTAGATCGGCAAAATCTTGCATAATTCTATTGTTGGTCCCCAAACACGTTTGTATAAAATCGATTAAACTTAAGTTTATTGAAAAATCTTAAATCACAAGAAATAAAAGTCCAAGAACACAGAGATTTGTTTTACCCAAAAAGGCTCAGATGTTCAGCCTATGAGCATCTATAAGTAGATACAACTTTAGATATATTAGAATCAACCAAGAACGGCTACAAATGTTTAGATTTCTTCACAGTTTTCTATCGCCTAAACACTAGCCACAATAGTAAACTCCTTTCAATCTCACACATCATACACTAAGTATAACACTGGACAATCCACTAAAAATTACGAAGATTGAAACCAACGGATGAAGAATACATGAAACGGCAGAGAGAACAAAATCATAGTGCACTACTATATAGATTGCTCAGGTTAGTTGACGGTGATGCCTTCCACTTCGACCTCGGGGTAAGGTTGTTATTTCTCCTTTTTTAAAATCGCCCGAATGACTGGAGTAAAGATTATAAGCGATGAAACATCTCGTGACTGTACTCGAAGAAGGAATAGGCTGCACGATGTTTATTTCCAAGGATAGGAGACGGTGCTTCTGTCGTAGCTGATTGGTGCAATCAAGATATGTGACCAAATGTTAGACAAACTGAAGCTATGACTAGTCTAGATCTTTGAGAACGTGGTGCGGTGTCATCAAAAAAAGGTTGCAATCAATCTCTTCCATTTAGAGATCATCGATGATATCGATTCCTTCAATAACTATCCATAGGGTAGGAGATATTTTGGTTACACGTTTTCACCAGATCACACTCGAAGTTCAAGAGGTCAGTGTGTAAGTACGATACCTATGACTTTTCCTTAACAATGCAGGTAAATGTTTAACATAATCAACGTTAAAATATATTTTATATTGAATTTATATATATGCCCTGTTTGAGCCCCATTATTTTCTCATTAAAATGAAAAATATGATCGTTATTCATCACATCAAGTCACAATATTTAACTTTTTATTTCTTGTGTGCGGCCCATAACGGTTATATTTTTCATTATCATTTTTTACAATAATGTAGCTCAAATGGGGCTATAATAATTGTATGTATTGCAGATCTGAACATATGAGACTATCTCCTTATTGGGTATTTGCTTTGCGAGGTGATGTGAGACATGTTGCCCTCGGATGTATAATTGGCGAGCATTCCCACAAACAGACATCCATTTAAAAACAGTTATCGGCTCTCCTCGACAATCCTCATGTGACATTATACATTTTGTGATTTATATTATACATAGTTTAAAATCTTATCACATGATCATTAACTAATTGAAATGTCAATATGTTAGGTTGAAGTCATACTTGATTTTATGCCATTGATGGAGGATGAGGGTTGAGATCTTGTGCGTGAATTAGCCATTCCGCTCACTTAAGACGATCGGATATCTGATTCGATTTTGGACCGAGATTGGGTATTTGAATTAAATATAATTTATTGATTATCATTTTGTATGAGTTTGCAATTATTAATTAAGTTAATTTTTAATGTTGTCATTTGTGTAGGAGCACTGTCTAGTTGATCGACGATCACCTCTGTTGAGGGCACCACTTTTGCCGAGGAGATCTCATTCTCTCTTGTCCAGACTCCTCCCCATGGATCTATTTCAATGATATGTATGCTCACTTGATTGAATTTATAGTGGAAGAGGTCAGCGCACTGCGACAAGAGTTGATAGGAAGAGTCAATGATCTGGGACGACAATTGATTGATAGGGTCGATGATTTATCTCATGATGTTGGAGTACTACATGGCCACTTCGTAGACCTTTGGGTTGAGGTCGTGGCACTCCAAGGTGATATAGCATGTTTGCCATAAAAGTATATTGAATTTTTGAGTAACATACATAAGGTAAGGTTGATTTTATTATTATTATTTTTTTGTAATTATGAAATAATTGTTATTTAATTACGAAATAAATTTGTAATATTTTGAAATAAATGTAAATAATGTTCATTTAGCAACGGCATCATTACACACTGATCTAATTGTTATTTAGAGGAATCTGACTTGTACAAAATTGGCGAGTATGCCCTATTCCTTAGCACCTGCCACACCTACACGATCGATAAAATTCTCCGATAAATGATATTCTAGACAAACGTGGACGTCTAAGACCATTAGGTTCAACTTCTGGTAGTAACAACGTATTAAGTGAGAGAATATGGACGATAACTTCCCACTTATCTTCATTCGACAGAGGAAATATAGTTAATGATATTGTGCAGAGTTACAAATTCTAGGTTGGTGTTACACAAAGTTTATCAATGTCAATGTTGTTCTCCTTAAAGTTTAGAAAGATAGGGTTGTATTCTACAAGAGGTTTCAAGCTCGGTGTTCAGTTGCACAGGATCCCTTGAACAATTCACTAGGTCTTCTTTTTCTTCCATAGTCAGTACAATATACACATTCCAATTTTAAAATAAAGTAAAATTAGAAAACTTTAACTTATATTCCATTTAAAACACTTAATTTTACAACATTACTTGAAAAATTAATTACATTAGACTGGTATGATAATGGAAACAACACCATCTAGATAACTTACATTCGATTTGCTTGAGGACAAAATTAGTAGACTAATTCATCATTCACTACCCACATTAGAAGAAAACAATAAAAAAATCCAGCTTTTAAATCCAAAAGCATTACTAAGCCTTTGCAATTTCAAGACCTATTGTCTATATGCATTTTTGGATCTTAGAAGATCAGGTATTGTTTACATAGATCTATGAGTGGATCACACCACAAGAATAATCCACAACCTTCATAAACTGACTTACACTCTCAATTTTCTATAAATTATATAGGGACAACTTCAACATTTTGGCGGCTTAAATAAAAGTAAGGAGATGATGAGATAGAAAAGTTCTATTTAATCTATTCATTTCAACGTTCGAAAAATATTTTAACAAAGAAGATAACGGAATCCATGTTTGACATCCTTTACTTTACTTTAATTTATTTCTTATATTAATTTTCAATCAACATTCTCACGATAAAATATTATTCACGTAAATTCAATTTTTCTACTATTTAATCATACATTCTTCAAAAAATAATATTCAGAATCATGTTTTTAAAATTTTAAGGATATCAAACAAGGGCAAAAATTGATGACAAGGGGATATTAAGCTCTTGTTTGGTTTCAATTATTTTCAAAATATATTTTTATCTTATTTTCAATCACACATTCCTTAATAATATAATATTATTCGTAAACATAAAATTTTCATTATTTTTAACAACACATTCTCCATTAAGCCCCTATTTGAGGCACATTATTGGACAAAAAATGAAAATTTTAACCGTTAACCATCATATCCAATTGCTTTTGTTGACTTCTCTTCTTTTGCGTGGAACCCAACTTTGTGCACAACGGCTAGAATTTTCATTTTAATCAAACAAATAATGTGCCCCAAATAGGGGCCAAATCACTATTTCAAGATGCATTTTTGACAAGAAAATGGGACTCAAACTGAATCTAACCCTGTTTGATTTCGATTAAAATTTAGATTTAATGCAAGTCAAAGTTAATAATTAATTTCAATCCTCAATCACATATTTTAAGGATCTCACAACTTTTCAATTATACGTTTAATTAAATTTTATCAAAATTTACTACAAATCTGATTTTAATTTCTATCAAATAAGGGTAAAATTTGGCATAAGTAGATGGTTTTTGCACCATAACGAAAGGTTAAGCGGTAAAATGCAAACACTTTGATAATGGCAAATAATACGACTTCTTTGACACGATGACAGTGTAATCAAAATTTGTAGAATTGGGAAAAGCTGTTTGAATGGGGCAGTTGACTTGACTTCTGAAATCTGATCCCATTTCGCAGCTGGTAGCAATTAAAGGAGTTCATACTTCATGGTCAACAGCCTAGCACATCACTTGCTACTTGCTCTGTGGACTGATGAGGAGTTACTGAAATTACAGAAATAGCCTTAAAAACTCGCTCGCATCTCAATGATTGATATTTTTTGAGATTTCTTTAAACCGTCATAACGCGAGGTTAAGTTGGTCATTCCAGGTCTAAAGCACCACAAAAGTAGTCAAATGACGAAAATCACCCTGGACTCCACGATGTGGAAACGTGTCCCAATAATCCCGATCAACAGCCCAAAACCTTCCAAGAAGAAACACAGAGCCAAGAGAAGGTATTAGAAAGCCAATAGAATGGGTATTTCAGCCATTAGAATGAGATCACGCGGATCGATGACGTGGCAAGAAAATTTGAAATCCCGCCCAAGCCCGGGCTACAATGGGTTGTGTGAATCTATTCTGGGTGTATTTTTACACTATTTCCCTCAAAACCCCACCCCTTGCTCTCTCTATATCTCAAACCACACGCTAAATCAAAGCCAAAGCAAATCAATTTGTTTTGTGTGTTATTATTGTTCTTATTCTCTCAAACCCTAGAAGAGGTGGGCGTGCGCCGCTGACTTCTCCGATTCACAACGATTTGTGAGTTGTGACCGAGTTTCACGATTTCTGCCTTTTTTTGTTTGTTTGTAGGTTTTGCCATGAAAGGAGGTAGATCCAAGGCTGAAACCAAGAAAGCTGATAGCAAGTCGGTTAATTAATTTTTTCTATTGTTTATACTGTTGACTGTTTCTTGATCTGGTGTTTCTGTTGACTTGAAAATTAGTTTGACTTATTTGGTGATTGTTGGATAGGCTTTCGGTGAAGAAAGGTGCTGCAGCAGCAAGCAAGAGTACGAAGAAGGAGAAACCTGCTAAGGATCCTAACAAGCCGAAGAGGCCTGCCAGTGCTTTCTTCGTTTTCATGTACGAACTCGTATCTTTATGTGCATGTGTATACATGAATTAACATATGTTATAAGTTATTATGTATTTATGGTTTCTTTTCTTGATTTATTAAAGGGAGGAATTCAGAAAAACCTACAAAGAGAAGCACCCTAACAACAAATCCGTGGCGGCTGTAAATTCTCTGCATACTTTTTAGATCCAAAAATATCGTTAAAGTCTTTTCGAAGTCCGAATATCTTCTCGAATTTATATGTATCTTTTTTTTTTTTTTTGGTGACTTTTGCATAGCGATATTCTCATTTCATAATTAAAATTTATTCAG